GGTTGAAATCCGCCGTGACACCAGCGCATATTCGAGCTGATAAAGAGAAAAATATTTGAAAGTGCTCGTATCGTACATTAGTTTAATTTCAGAGCTGAGCAAAGAGTTTCCAGCAATCTGATTGGTCGAGCGGTTCCTTATATGACGCTATATAAACCACTCCACGTGGTTTATATAAGATGTTGCAATAAAATGTTAATAAATGTTACTAAAATGTTATGATTTTAGAAATTTCTCTGTTGTTTAGCTCTAAAATCATACTAAAACAATTATTCGCCCCACTCCGGTGAATATTGTCGAATAATCCCCGAAACAAATATTCGACGATATTCACAGAACCTGAGGCGAACAATTGTTAAATGTAAATAGGATATTTTGAGAGGGAGATCAATCAACCAAATTGATTTGCCACACCTACCTCGATAAGTAGGAGTACTGGAGCTTTTAGGTTTGCCTGCGTTAAAAAAAGTGATAAGTATAGGACATTACCATCATGACATTTTCCTTTCTCAGATCTCTACATGACTACAGCAAATTGATCCCAACCCTTAAATCTCTCCTGTGCGAGGAACGGCCCGGCGCATTCGAGCTGATATAGAAAAAAGTCTCTGAAAGTGCTCGTATAGTTATAATGTAAATGTAATAATTTGAAGAGGGAGATCAGCCATTTTGTTAAGAAAATATTTTAATGTTGTCTGCATACGGTATTGCGAGCCAGGAATTCATAGCACAAATCATCCATCATTCGTCTCCTTTTTCTGCGATCTAACTAATTTTCTTCAATCGCTTTGAGTTATTCGTTTCGAAGATTTGCAAGTTACAAACAGTTCTCAGAAGGTACATGTGGTGCAACCATTTGATGATAATCACAGGAGAAAAAAATAAACCGGTTTAAGTCGGCCACAAATAACTTAGCTCAAACTTTCCTTTTGATGCTATTTTTCTCAAAATTACCAAAAAGAGTACTAGCTTTGTCTCTTGCGTGTCTCGCTTTGGTCAATGCGTGTCTCGGTTTCTCTCTTGTGTGTCAAGCTTTGTGTCCTGTGTGTCTCGTCACGTGTCTCGTGTGTCTCACTTCTTGACTCGTTTGTCTCGCTTCATGTCTCACCTGTCTCGCTAGGTGTCTCGTGTGTGTCAGAGCAACACATAAACCATAAAAGTGCTATAAGACCAGTGACTAGGCACACAATAAAAATCGATGATAAATCTGAAAAAAATAGAATAAAATTACAATTCAATCCTAGCTCACAGTACACGGCAATGCTAGATATTTCAGGCCGACAAATCTTTTGGCATAGATTACATTTGTTGCACCAGAAAATATTCATGCATTCTTCATACATGCATACTTGAGACCATATTAAGTAGTAATTTTCTCCTTAATTTTTTTTTAACCATATCTGTTTCTGATGAAGGCTTAAATATAAGTCTGGTAAATTATGCAAAATTTCCGAATCATTCGCCACTACTGTTAAAGTTGTTTTGGTACGTATCGTGTACCGAAGAATCCTTCCACATCAAATTTTCAGAAACGGATAAGACGAACGTCGGGTCTCTGAATTATTGGCCAGCAGATTAAAAGTAAAATTTCAGTTGTCTGTTACACAACAGTGACCGTAACCGCAAGAAAGGGAGTTCGAAACATGTAGATCGCTTTTGCGTTGTTTTTAGGGTTATTCAAACTCACATAATTTATTCAACCAACTTAAATTGTGCTAATTGCCGCGAAAACTATCTATTTTCGTTTGGGACAGCAATGACAGTCATGGAAGTCAAACAAGTTAAAATTACATCTGAAATCTCTCACAAGATGCCACGCGAGCAATTTCTCCGGAATAGGATTAAATGAATAAAGAACGTCGACACGTGAAAGTATCATTTACACGATCTTATGTAGAGTGAGTCCGCAGAGCTTGTTTTAGGATAAGGAGACCAACACTGTCTTTATTAGAAATGCTTAACCAAATGCTGGTCTCCAACGCCATTAATAAGATAAGTAGGCAACTAATAATCATTGTAAAAAAAAGACGTGATTCGTGTCGGAGAGGATGATCAGACCTTTCGCGGCAAGAATCTTAATATTTATCCATATTCTTTTTTTTTTCTTTTGCTTTATTTGCAACCGGTCGCCATGTAATTCTGCGAGTGAACTTACGATTCACGGGTTAGGCAAAGCAAAATAGAACATGAGTGAACACACCTTCACCTTGGCTGGCTTGCGAACTTGATGCAGGTATCTTATCTTGCGATGCTTTGATTGATAACGGGTCAACAACAAAACTCCCAAACTTTTCATCCACTGCAGCGTACTTTAGGGCGGAGATTATGATGCTAGCTCGAACTATTTTCTTAAATTTCAACGTGAAATACACCTTCGCGCAGCCACTTCTACCGAAATGAACACAAAATATGTGTGTTATATTTTCCTTTAGCAATCAACATTCGTCTCCTTGACTGTCTGTCTGCTTGTCTGTGGGGGCTCAGTTTCTAAAGAAACTCTAGTGCTCCGTCGGTGGGGGTGTAACAAGATAATTAATTGAAATGTATCAACTAAGTTGATAAACGAATGTAAACTGGCAATCGTAAAGAATTTCTGACGCTTTCGTTGCGTGGTTAGCCCTCCGTCGGAGCCTTTTAAATGAAAGCAAATGAATGAATAAAACCAAATTATCTTATCTGCTTGTCAGTCTAGTGTGTTGGTTGACTGGTTGGTTGACTGTTTAGTTGAGGTGTCATAATTAACGTAGGTGATTCCAATTCACTCGTATTTCCTTCTTAATGAATTTTAAAGTAAAGGCTAATCAGCGCCACCTACTCGAATTGTATCACTTTGGTCGCGTAATAGTTGATGTCAGCTTTAAAGAGATCCTCAACCTGTCGAGACATTAAGGCAGTTTAAAGAAAATGCCAAGTTAGTTGGTGCAGACCTAGTTGATACATGGCAACAATAGAAATGGTCTTTATGGCCAGTAACTATCACAGAATGTCCCTTTTCTTTTTGTATTAATCCATTTTAGATGAACTTTGTTCTCAGACTAAGCATACACCCCAACTCCTATTTACATGTAAGATTTTCCCACCCATCAACTCCAATCGATAGTTGTTCCACTGTCATTGCGGTTAGTATAGCTGCGTAGTAATTCATGGATGGCTAAATGCCTGCAATCTGGCTCTTACCAGCGAGAGAATGTATTTTACATTGATCGGTCTAACCAAAGGTTAAAATCGTTTATAGAAATCCCTTCCCTATCAACTTCAAGTGCCTCTGCGATGAGAGCCTGGGATTTATAATTTGAACATTCTCAAAGTAAAATTTGCATGAAGCGTTAGTATAGTAAAAAGAAGTTAGCTTGTCGTCCCTCTCAACTACACGGTAGAAACACAGACCTCTTGTTTTGACCTTCTCTGTTTACAGTACCAGTGCTAATGATCTTTCTCATTTTTAAGGATGGTAAGTACTTAGGACTAAATAAAATATTGAACAAAAGCCATAGTCAATAGAGTACCACGTGGCTTCGCTCTGTACAGTTAACATAGTTTTGGAAAACAAATCATTCTGCTTTTGCTCTCCTGAGAATCCCTAACGAAAGGCACAACGCCGCTGCATCGAACCAATTCCGACAAAATTGTCGATTTATGGAGATTTAGTGGATCGGAATAGTTCAGAATATTCTGTGGAGAAAAATCTTTCCTCCTTCTAATAAAACCACTGTGATTTTTTTCCAAAATACCAACGATTATCGTTTGAGGATACGGCATTCATGGAAAGCAGAGGCAGTCACCTGTATATCTCACTGACTAACTTTTTTAGGTTTGTCATGAGCATCATTTAGTTAACTCCTACCACTATTACAGAAATGAGGTACTATGCTCTCTTAGAGTCTTAGAGCTGTTCCGAAGTAAAATATAATGTACAACTTGATGGCATGATCAAAATGTAATTATAGCTTTATAGCAGTCATGATATACAACTCACCACCTGAGCAATACGCTTGGAGAAATTCTGATATTTTTCACTTTCCTTATTCAATAAACCAATGTCAAGTTTTTCATTCAAGATCACCATCTCCCCACTGAATAGCCTGCTTTCACTTTCTACCAATAAAAAGAGAGTCAATTTAATTTATCAAAATGTCTACTTAACGAATATCGTGTTTTGAACGGCTTAAGAGTGTTTCTATGGATGTGCAGAGAAAAACGAAAAAAAATAAAAAGACATGTTGAAAAGCGACTTCTTTTCGTAAAATATACAAGAGACAAATAAAAACTAAAATGAGCTTTTCGTGCATCCCGTGTTTAATAGTTACTCGTAATGTTTCATAGCCCGGCCTCTTAGCCTAAGCTTGTACAACGACGAAACCTCTTAATTAAATGCATGATTCGTACCCATAAAGTACTAAATGGAATCTCTTTGCAAGCAGTTTCCTCTAATTTTTAACCGTGATTTGATTCAGAGATAAACTAGTAAAGAATACATATGAAAAGTGAGCTGGTGTTCGTTATGGACCTTAAGAAATTTATGGAAGAGAGAGACAAATATTTAAGGGAGATTTACTTTCCACTTCTGCTACCGCTACCGCTACTTGTACTCCTATTACTACTTGTGGTACGTGTCGACAAAGCCTCAGATAGACTGGTTCAGCAGTGGCAGCTGTTATTATAAAATTCGGACGCCCAAACACTCCCTTTAACATAAAATCCCTGAAAGAGTATTACTTACCAGCAATGTCAAGGTATGCTCGTTCGCCTATCCCAGTTCCTCTATCATATGTGAACCACCCTGCGTCGGTAAAATTTGGTAGGTCAAAATGTAGCTTGTTGCCTCTCCCAACACTATTCTTTTGGACCCAAGTAATGGTTGGTGCTGGATTTCCATCCGCCCAACGATGAAGTGGTACATTTTTCCTTAATTGGACTGTCTGGTTCAGTGATGCAGTTGTTACCCCCGCAGGATCTAAGAAAAATCAAAATATGTAGTTTTCGATTTTCAGCTGGATCTTAACTACGCCCTCATTACTTTGGTATTACTCTACCTCATTAACTAATCAATTCAGATAATTTGACGTATATTGTTTTCTTCACATTTAACTCTTCTGCACTCCAAATAAGTTTCACACTCCTTTGAATCACTTTTTTCAAGAATACTATAACAATTATGAAACCCCATTACCTTCCTTGCCACAACCCTACCTAATGAGGTTTTTTGTTCTTCATGGCCGACAACAGAATTATTTCAGGGCAAAATCGCACACTTCCACTGAAGTTGAAGTGATTCCAATGAGTGGAATACTAATTTGGAGTGCAGAAAAGTAAATGTTAAGCAAACCGTGGTAAAAATTGGGCAAAGTCGACTAAATATGCAAGCTGTACCTTAAGCCCGCAGTATTATCTTAGTCCCTAAAGATCCTATACACTAGAGGTACAAGACCAGATTAAAATAAATGTAAATGTAGACAATAATTAAGTGATTCAAAGGAGCGTAAGTCTAATTTGGAGTGTAGAAAAATAAAATGTGAAGCAAACTGTGACAAAAATTTGAGAAAACTCGACTAAATATGGAGGCTGTACCTCTAGCCGGTAGTATTTTCTGAACCTCCCGAGATGCTACCGGTTTTACAAAGCCTTTTTTACATCTTTGTGTGTGCCAGCCAATGATGATCAGTGAAGAGATATGCCATATCTTGGCATTTTGTTTAAATTCTATCTTTAAGTCTGTAAAGCATTGTTTTTTCACCCATGTAAAGAGGTATGACACATTTCTTTCTTTAAAACCTGAGTTATCTATGAAGTCATAATTTCAACGAGTTTAGAACTTTATTCTACGCAAGAAAACTTGACTGGAGTAGAATAAAATTACATCTATTTGCTATCTTTCTCATTCATTTCACTGTGTGTCTTCATTTATATGGTTTAAACTATACTTAAGGTAAAGTCTGTTTACGACCCATTGGCCCATCAGGCCGTCGCTTAACTCCGGTTTTTGTAGCGTGAAGCAACTAGGAGTATTTCTACTCCCCCCTGGATGGGATGCTAGTCTATCGCAGGATTAACACATAGTAGCATGTTATTTGGATAGCATTAAATATTTGACCTCAAGCTTTTTCAGTGATTAGTGCACGGTGTTCTTTCAAATGCTGATACCCATTCCACAAGGAAACTTAGATATGAGCAATAATAGACACAAGATATTTGAGTTTTTATAGGTGGAGATCTGGAAAAGCAAGGATCTTCTTTTACTAAGGAATGAAATTAGCGGGGGCCCTCCTCCTTCAATTTATGTTTTCACTTTGAGCTACCTCCTCTACTTTACTGTTTAGTGGGTAAGTTTACAACATGCATATGGATTAATGTAGGTGTTGTTCAAAGCTGTTATGCAGCTAAATTTTGCCCAGCCTTTGCATTAATAAACAAATTTCTTTTTTGAACAATCTTGTTTTATTCAACCAAAGTTGAATCTTCGATCTCCTAGTATCAGATATGAACAGGTCTTTTTTAAAGTTTTTACATAAAATATTGCAGGTGTACATGTATGGCATATCCAATTTTCCCCTGACTCTGTTAACGGTTATCGGAGGTTACTGTATCAGTGGAAAAATGGAAGGTAAAGCTGTGCATTCAGTTTATATTATAACCTGGGTTTTGCCCCGAGTTGGCCAATTTTAACAAATGCTCAAGCCTTTCAAAGTAATCTTATGTTAAAATTTCGTCAGAGTGAACCAGCGAAGTTCTAATAGTTAAAGGGTGAAATGAATACTTTTTTATGAATACTTTTTGTTATTTTTTAAGCAATTATCTTCATTGAGAATCCTATGTTTCTCTCTATTCCCAAGTTTGAAATAGTATATTCTAGTTCTAGCTTCCGTTCGATTAAATTAGTCTTTCGCATGGCAAGAAACAGATTATAGACAGATTTCATATTTCAGTGGCTATAATTGCCAGGATCATGGACAGGCTAGGTTTAAGAAGTTACGCTCCACGTTTGATAAAAACGCACAGAGTTTTAGAATATGGTCAAAAAATAAAGGTTATTTGGACGAAATTTTAAGAGAAATATATCTCCGAATCTAATTTCACCGTAAGACGGAGAAAAGTCAACGATGGAGCTTGTCTCACTGTCTCATGGATCACCTCTTACGCTTCTCTCGTGCTTAGCAACCTCCCGCGTGCATCCATAACTCAATAGTGTACGCTGTGGTGTTTACTCATGTGCTAAGAGCTTTCTAATTGACTTTCCACAAAATTGCTGTATAGCATGGCCTCTATGAGCTCGCAGCTCGTTTTCCATCAAAATTCTAAAGCTATCTCTGCTCATTCCATGTTCGCAAAGTTGATTTAGTAAGCCATATAATATGGCGGCTTTCCTTCCGCTCAGGAAGACCTCTTTTCGATGGTTTCATTATCGCGAACGCGGAGGGAAGACGACGACAAACGCAGTAAATAGGTGTAAACACTTAAAGAAATTAAGTGAGGTTATAAAAAGCCGTTTCTCGATTAAGATTGCAAAGATTTAGCCGAATGATAAACACACACAGTGGGCTTTCTATTTCTGTGATAAAGCAAATCCCGAGGATGGCAACTTTGCCCGCCGAGCATTCTGGTTGAGTATGGCCCTCAAGCTCCAGTGTTTATTTGCAGTTAACATGACAAAGTTGAATCGTTAGATTAAAAAAAAAAAAAAAAACAAGGCCAAAGTTTTTTGTTTCATTCCTCATACAGGTTGCTTGAATCCAAGTTTTTGTGTAATTTTCATTTCCGAATTTGCCTGCTTTTCTAAGAGACTTAGTAATGAGTTTTTACGACTAAGCATTGGATGATACTTAGGAAAACAGTTTAAGAGCCGCAGGATTCAAGGAAATACTTTTCTCGGAATGAAGGAGCTTATTCAATTACCAGCAGCTGACGCTTATTTTGTATTTGAAGGGTTGAAAAGCATAGCCTAATTATTCCATTAACAGGAGGTGAAACATTTACAGTATACTTAGTTTTTTGATACGTGAAGGTAATTGTGTTCGCGTGTGTGCGTGTACCTACGGAGGACTCTGATTTCCGAATCGTCGGAGAAGTAAAAAAGATTTTGGTTGATTATGTAAGAGCGATTTGTCCCCCGTGTCTGATCGTTACATAACAAAAATTGTAACCAAGGCTTGATTGTGGGAAATATTAAAATGTTTCGCACCGCAGGTTAGCGTGCTACTGTAATAGAAGATACACCAAGAAAAATAGCGTCCACGGGATCTACCAGTTGTTTTGAACTAGTTTTAATGCGTAATTCCACACAAGCTAGCTAGTCAACTAAAAGCAAACGAATAGACGTGAGTCGAATAGGCACCANAATCAACATTTTTGTTGGAATTGGTTGGATGCAGCCGCGTTGTACCTTTCGTTAGGGTTTCTCAAGATAGCAAAAGCGGATTTGTTTTCCAAAACAATGTTAACTAGTTTTAAGTTTAAGTTTAAGTTTAATCCAGGAGAAAGGAACAGAACTTTCGTCCCAAATGACACCTAACCCCATAACTATACAGAGCGAAGCCATGTAGTACCCTATTGACTATGGCTTTTGTTCAATATTTTATTGTAGTCGTTGGTACTTACCATTCTAAAGAAGGAGAGAGATCTTAAGCACGGATATTGTAAAAAGAGAAGGTCAAAACAAGAGGTCTGTTTTTCTGCCGTGTAGTTGAAAGGGGACGACAACCTAACTTCTTTTAACGATACTAGCGCTTCATGCAAATTTTTCTCGACTATGTTCAAATGGTATTTTCTAGAAGGCTCTCATCTCAGAGCACTACAAATTAATAGGGACCGGATTTTTATAAATGGTTTTAACCTTTGGTGAGACCGATGGATGGATGGATGGATGGGTCAGATGACCACTCCCCATGGGGCTTTTCAGGGCCATTCTTAAAACACTGTGCGGGGGACTTTGCCAGACTGCTTGTAGCAGTTTACAACGAATCAAAGGAGTTTGAAGATGCCCCCCCCCCCAATTTCCAGTAAACAGGCCAGACCACATCACAGTAATCTCGTGAGTGGGTTCTTTAACGTCCCTTGCCTAACCTAATTAAGCAACCAATAGATGCAGGAGACGGGAACTACGGTTTATTCGTCGTTATCTGAGAAGACTGGAACGTCTATCTATTTCATGATATTATAGAAAGGTAGTACATTCTCTTGAGTTATTTTAAGACCTTTAGTGTTTGTCCGGCCGGGGCTCGAACTCTCGACCTCCCGCGCAACAGTCCGGCGCTCTAACCAATTGAGGTAACCGGGAGGCGGTTAAAACCAGCCAGATTGCAGAAATTTAGCCATCAATTAATTTTATAACATAGCTTATAAATTCGTGCAATCAAATTCAGTTGCGCTAGCGTGCTTCAATTTACCATAATGCACGCTGTTGACGTCAGCAAACGCCTGGTGAAAAACATTTTTTCTCGTCAGTCACTTGAGCATTTTTCATTAAAAAAGGTGGAAAACCTCCGCAGGAAAGTCAAACTAAATATGACAACAAGAGAACAAGCCGATGAAGATCTGCCTACTTTTTCTTTGGGAATGGATTTATAACTCCCGAGAAAGAACCCAGAGAAAGGGAAAACAGAAACCAATCAACGCCGGTTCCATCTCGTTCCGCAACTCTAAGTTCATTTACACTGGTGAATTCACTGTCAGGTTTTGACCAATCTGAGACGAGATAATTGAAGCATAGCAAAATACTTTCCGAAACAAAATAAACAACGAATTGAAGGGTAGGAGAAGAAATTTCTGCCCTTTATATTTAAACTCACTCTGTGATAGTCGCTCACCATAAAGAACATTTCCATCTTTGCCATGTATGAACTCAATTTACAACAACTAACTTGTCTTATTCCTTAAACTGCCATTAATGTCTTGACAGGTTGAAGATCTCTTTAAAGCTGATATTAACTACTATGCAACCAAAGTGATACCATTCAAGTA